CTCTGTCTTGTGGGGTCTGGGGGGGGGGGGGCAACAGTGTCCTGGCCCCACTGGTGGACCTCCTGATTGCCCCTGGTGTGTTTGGTCACTGTGTGACACAGAGTGTTGGACTGTATGGGCCATTGGCCTGATCCAACACTGGCTTCTCTTATACTCTTATAGATGGAACTGACAGGCTGGGGTGCTCTGTATTCTTGGTGCTTGGGGTGGGGCAACAGTGGGAGGGCTTTGAGTGTCCTGGCCCCACTGGTGGACCTTCTGACGGCACCTGGCATTTTTGGCCACTGTGTGACACAGAGTGTTGGACTTGGTGGGCCACTGGCCTGATCCAATGTTGGCTTCTCTTATGTTCTTATGTCTGGGGCAAGGGATGCTCTGTCTTCTTGGTGCTTGGGGGGAGCAACAGTGGGAGGGCTTCTAGTGTCCTGGCCCCACTGCTGGACCTCCCAATGGCACCTGGTATTTTTGGACACTGTGTGACAAGAGTGTTTGACTGGGTGGGCCGTTGGCCTGATCCAACATGGGCTTCTCTGATGTCCTTATGGCCCCAGCAAGGGGCTTTCTAGGCAAGTGAGACGTGGAGGTGGTTCGCCGTGGCCTTCCTCTCCAGATCGAGGTGGGGCAGCCGTGTTGGTCTGAAGCAGCAGAACAAAGTTAAGAGTCCGGTGGCACCTTTAAGACCAGCAGAGGTTTATTCAAGGCGTGCACGAAAGCTCACACCTTTGTTGGTCTTAAAGGTGCCACCGGACTCTTAACTTTGTTCCCTTCCCCTGCAGAGTCTCCCTTGGTGGCCTCTCATCCAAGCCCCGACCCTGCTTACCTTCCATCCCCGATCACCGTAATGGAGACATTAAAAAACACATTCATTTTGCCCGGTTCTTGCCCTTGCAAGAACTTAAAAGGATTAAGTTATGGAAAGACTGAACACCTCCACTGATAACGGTTTGGCATGAAAAAATTTGGGCACAATTGTTTTCAACAAAGGACCCAGCAACAGGATATCAGTACAAAATTAACATATTGCTGAACAAGTTCTTTAGACTTCAACAGGATCGATGCCGAGGAGCTGGATGGACCGGGGGAACACTCTGCACCCAACTGGTGACTTACGAGTTCCATTTGGTCGATATCGTACAAGGCTGTCTCCGGAAGAAAAATTTTTTGAATGAGGGAGCTTTGAATAGCCATTCTTGAAATGTTGACACTTATTGTTGGAATTATTGGAAACTCTGAATAGAAAAGACCAGAAACTGACATCTGACGAAGACAAAGGTCGAAACGAACAGTCAGCTCGAGACTTGCACTTGTTCTTGCACTTGCTGTATGGGGACCTCGGTCTCTTCATGAAGTTTTTCCATTGGAATAAAAAATATCAACTTTGAATATACTGTTAAAGTCTAAAGAACTTGTTCAGCAATATGTTAATTTTGTAATGAAAAAATTTGGGAACACGACATTATGGCAAAAAAAAATCACAGATAATATATCTTGCTCTGATACTCTTAATTATCAGTCCAAATTTGTAGTCATAGGGTTCCCTGTTTTACCATATTTACTGGAACGAGAGGTATTCCCCCTGCTAATCCTCTTTATCAAAAAATCTGCTCTTTTCTAACATGGCTGAATTAGAGAAGGCAGGTACTTTATGTCAAATTATTATGTTGATGGGATTCTATTATACTGTTCTAAGTTCATCGCAAATTTATTTTTATCATTGGTCTATAGACCAGAGAGCCAGTTTGGTGTAGTGGTTAAGTGTGCGGACTCTAATCTGGGAGAACTGGGTTTGATTCCCCCACTCCTCCACTTGTACCTGCTGGATGACCTTGGGCAAACCATAGTTCTGGCACAGATGTTCTTGAAAAAGAGCAGTTTCTGTCAAGAGATCTCTCGACCCTGCCTACCTCACAGGGTGTCTGTTGTGGGGAGGGGAAGGGAAAGGAGTTTGTAAGCCACTCTGAGACTCCTTTGGGTAGTGAAGGGAGGAGTATAAATCCAATCTCCTCCTCCTCCTCTTCTTCCTCCTCTTCTTCTTCTTCACTTCGAGGTATTTATAACATTGGTTGTTTTCTTTATATGTTACTGTTGTTCATCAATAATTTTTTTAAAAAGGATTGACAAAGTTGAAGCAACTGTGCACAGGTGAACGAAACAGGGTTTTGGTTGCTTGGGAGATGGAGAGCGGGTGGTTCTCCTCGGGAGTAGGGTTTGTGGCCTTCGACAGTGGAGACCCTCTCCTTGCTCCCTGGCCAGTTTCCAAACGCCTCTCTTGGCAGCGGCTGACGTGTCTCGACGGGTTCTCGTTGCAGGGACTACATCCGGCAAGAGATGGACCGTGAATTCCAGGGGGCCGTGTACAACGACTCCGTGGCGCTCAGTCGCTTTGCCACCGTGCTCACAGGTGAGGGGCGGCAGCTTGGTTGGCCGGGATCCTTTCCCTCCAGGCGGCTGGTGGCAACCCCAACCCTCAGCCCACCGGTTCCTGCTCTTGTTTATAGCTGGCAACTCGCCCTGCCGCGCTGATCGTTGGTTCCCTGCAAAGCTGCAGTGCTGATTTTTTCCCCTTGCTTATACCGGCCGGCCCGCGGTGAAAAAAGGGGGCAGGATCCCAGGGGGAGGGCAGGATCTGTGGAGGGCAGAAGAGTGTGAGCCGACTCCCTGGCAGTTCCAGCTGCATGGCTCTTGGAGGGTAGCGGCTAGGAAAGAACTTTCTCCGCTTGAGAGCTTGGAGGGCGGCTGCCGGTCGGAGCAGATAGTACGGAGCTACCCTTAATGGTGGTATACATGCGTGCATCTGCATAATCCCTCTGTGTGTGTGTGTGTGTTTTCATGCACCCATTGGCAGTGGTGGCCCCAAAGCAATTCTGTCTCACCCCTTGTGGTTGTAATGACTTTGCATGCCTAGCTGGCAGAAAATCAGTTGCTCCTGCTCTCCAGGGAGAAAAGGGGATTAGATAGATTCATGGAGGATATGTTTATCAGTGGTTGTTAGCCATGGGGAGACTGAGGGGAACCTCCATATTCAAAGGCAGTCAACATCGGGGGAAGGCCTCAACCTTTCTGCCCCGTTGTTGTTGGCCAGTTCAGAGGAACTGGTTGGCCGCTGTGTGAGAAGACAGGATGCTGGACTGGATGGACCCTCATTGGTCTGATCCAGCAGGGCTCTTCTGGTGTTCTTATCAGGGGAAGGCCTCGGCATCTCTGCCCTGTTGTTGGCCCTCCAGAGGAACTGGCTGGCCACTGTGTGAGACAGGAGGCTGGACTAGAGGGACCCTCCCTGGTCTGATCCAGCAGGGCTCTTCCAATGTTCTTATCAGGGGAAGGCCTCGGCCTCTCTGCCCTGTTTCTTGGCCCTCCAGCGGAACTGGTTGGCCACTCTGTGAGACAGGAGGCTGGACTAGATGGACCCTCCCTGGTCTGTGGTGTAGTGGTTAAGTGCGCAGACTGTAATCTGGGAGAACCAGGTTTGATTCCCCACTCCTCCACTTGCACCTGCTGATGTGACCTTGGGTCAGTCACAAGCTCTGGCACAGCTGTCCTTGAAAAAGAGCAGTTTGTGTCACTCAGCCCCACCCACCTCACAGGGTGTCTGTTGTGGGGAGGGGAAGGGAAAGGAGTTTGGAAGCCGCTCTGAGACTCCAAGTGAAGGGCGGGGTATAAATCCAATCTCCTCCTCCTCCTCCTCTTGAGGGAACAGCTCTGAGAGAACTTGTGACTGACCCAAAGTCACACCAGCAGCTGCTTATGGAGGAATGGGGAATCAAGCCCGGTTCTCCCAGATTAGAGTCCGTGATCCTAACCACTACACCAAACTGTCCTAAAGTACCATACACACCTGGAGCAGTATTGGGGGCCGGGGGTGTGGGGGACGCTATCGACCATTTGGCCTGCTTCCCCACTTCTG